AAAGCGCGACCATATCACCCCAATTCTGGCCTCACTGCACTGGCTTCCAGTTCGGTTCAGAATAGATTTTAAACTCCTTTTATTTGTTTTCAAAGCCCTAAATGGGCTGGCTCCTGCCTATATAGCCAAACTCCTCCATCGCTACACCCCAGCCAGAGCCTTAAGGTCGGCTGATCAGCTGTTGTTGATAGTGCCTAAGACCAGGCTTAAAACCCGAGGGCATCGAGCTTTCGCAGCAGCTGGCCCTAGGCTCTGGAATACTTTGCCCCTCCATGTGAGGTCGGCCCAGACCCTGGGGGGTTTTAAATCAACACTTAAAACTCACTTTTTCTCTTTGGCTTTTGTTTAATTATCTATTTATTCATTTATTTAGTTATTTATTCATTTAGTTCTTTATTTTAATATTCATAACATAACATAGGATTTCATAAAGTATTTTTAAAATAGTTTATACATTATTCAAATATAGGAATAGTAGATAGGATTACTTAAATTATAGTACCTTATATTTAATCTTTTTTCCCTTTAGACCCTTGCGGTTTATTCTTAAAAACCCTTACCCTTACCCACCCCCCATTTTCCCTCTGCTGGTCTATGGCCTTGTAGAGGGTAACGGGGTACAGAGTCGCTTAGATAAGCGGGGGAGTGCATCTGACGAAGAGATAGGTTGTTGTGCTCCCTCTCTCTGTTTCTTATCCTATATCTAATAGAACTGCTCGGGTCTGGATAGATTGAGTGGGGAAGTTCATGAGATCTTTCTAGAGGGTTATCAAGAATAACTTTTCTCCAATGACCTTCTCCCTCTCTGTCTGTGTCTGTGTATTCTCTTGTTCCGATTAACCCAGCCAAATCTTTTTTCTTGTTTTGTATCTATATCTACACCGGGATCCGGAGTCGAGGCTGATCCTCTTGCTGTAGTCCTGTGTCTTGGATCCTCTATCCCGAGTTCTGGATTAAGTCGTGGACATCATGTCGTGGCTGAACCTGTCTCTGCGGTCCTGCCTTGGGTCTCGTCATGCTGCTTCCCTGATGGCTTCCACAGGATTGCTGACATCCTCGTGGATTCATCTTCTTATTACAGACACATGCATTTCCTAACATTCGGTCTATATGCTGTAAATGTATTATCTCTTCGATTTACACACGGCATCTATTGCACGTCTGTCCGTCCTGGGAGAGGGATCCCTCCTCTGTTGCTCTCCCTGAGGTTTCTCCCATGTTCCCTTTAAACTGTGGGTTTTCTCTGGAAGTGTTTCCTTGTACGATGTGAGGGTCTAAGGACAGAGGGTCTAAGGACAGAGGGTCTAAGGACAGAGGGTGTCGTTTTTCTCATACTGATATTCTGAACAATCTGTGCTGTTGCTGTAAAGTGTCTCTACTGTAGGCTATTTTTATTTTATGTACAGCACTTTGGCTCGACCAAAAATCTTTTATAAATGTGCTATATAAATAAAACTTGATTTGATTTGATTTGATTATATTTCTTTAATTATATCAACTGTATAGCCAATATCTGTATGGGGCGGACTGGCCATTGGGAATACCGGGAGTTTTCCCGGTGGGCCTGTGCTGTGCGTGGGCCGGAGGGCAAAAAAAAAGAACGTGTGTTGCCCACATTCTGTTACTGAGTTTAGGCTAGTTAGCTAGCAGGTTTATTGTTTTGGGTGCAGTCACTTTTGCCTCAAAATAAATGTTGAAAGAAAAAGTAAATCTGTCTACAGTTCTGTTTCATATGGGTCTTGAGAGATGTATCCATAGATTTAGTCCCCAATTTTGCTCTCAAAATGGACCAGATTGATGCATTTAACTTCAACATTTAAAAAAAAATCTTCCCGGGGGAGCTTGCCCCCGGACCCCCCTAGAGGAGGTGAGGTCCACCACATGCCCACACCCCCTGTTAAATGATCTCACCCACATAGAGGATGCTTCCTACGCCCATGTTTTATTCCATGTGTCAAGTCAGGCAAATTGGGTCAAAATGTTATTGCATCAATGATCTGTATTCAAATCACTAAATATATGCCGTAACTATTTTGCTCTAGGCAACTCAAGGGCTCAGGTAATGTGATTACTATATGAATAATTGTCCAAAATAACATAAAATGCATAGGGTTTGTTGTTAAGTAACATACTTTCCTCGCCGGCCGGCCGATACATGCCGCGCATTAAGTGGGCCTGTCTGTCAATTAATACCCGGGCCACTTTTTCCCCCCAGTCCGCCCCTGATAGTATCTCATGGTGTGTGTCTGTATTCATGGAAATTATGTGTATTTAATGCAGAGTAAGACACAGATGCACCTGCCTGTGAGACACACACCATCTTTCCTTGGATTACCTGCCTTGCTCAAAGACTGTTTGGTTACTTTTTCAGTCCATTTCTGCACTGAAACTCTCCTGGAGCGACAAAACTCCACAGACTCTTCCATCAGGGGAGAGTAAACGGACATTACCCGTGAGATACGCTGAAGAGAGGCAGTGTGTGTGTGTGTGTGTGTGTGTGTGTGTGTGTGTGTGTGTGTGTGTGTGTGTGTGTGTGTGTGTGTGTGTGTGTGTGTGTGTGTGTGTGTGTGTGTGTGTGTGTGTGTGGGAGGATAATTTGAGGAATCCAGTGACTGTACTGTTATCTGTGGAGTTGGTTTCTGTCCACAATGAGCCTCTGTTCTCCTGCAGGATGAGAGGCCGGAGAGGGACTGTTTCCCCTCTACTTTGACTTCTTACATTTTGAACACAAATACCTGTACTTTCTACTTCTTACATGTTGAACTCAAATACCTGTACTTTCTACTTCTCACATGTTGAACTCAAATACCTGTACTTTCTACTTCTCACATGTTGAACTCAAATACCTGTACTTTCTACTTCTTACATGTTGAACTCAAATACCTGTACTTTCTACTTCTCACATGTTGAACACAAATACCTGTACTTTCTACTTCTCACATGTTGAACACAAATACCTGTACTTTCTACTTCTTACATGTTGAACACAAATACCTGTACTTTCTACTTCTTACATGTTGAATACAAATACCTGTACTTTCTACTTCTTCCATGTTGAACCCAAATACCTGTACTTTCTACTTCTCACATGTTGAACACAAATACCTGTACTTTCTACTTCTTACATGTTGAACTCAAATACCTGTACTTTCTACTTCTCACATGTTGAACACAAATACCTGTACTTTCTACTTCTTACATGTTGAATACAAATACCTGTACTTTCTACTTCTTACATGTTGAATACAAATACCTGTACTTTCTACTTTTTCCATGTTGAACCCAAATACCTGTACTTTCTACTTCTTACATGTTGAACTCAAATACCTGTACTTTCTACTTCTTACATGTTGAACACAAATACCTGTACTTTCTACTTCTCACATGTTGAACTCAAATACCTGTACTTTCTACTTCTTACATGTTGAACTCAAATACCTGTACTTTCTACTTCTTACATGTTGAACACAAATACCTGTACTTTCTACTTCTTACATGTTGAACTCAAATACCTGTACTTTCTACTTCTCACATGTTGAACATAAATACCTGTACTTTCTACTTCTTACATGTTGAACACAAATACCTGTACTTTCTACTTCTTACATGTTGAACACAAATACCTGTACTTTCTACTTCTTACATGTTGAACACAAATACCTGTACTTTCTACTTCTTACATGTTGAACACAAATACCTGTACTTTCTACTTCTTACATGTTGAACACAAATACCTGTACTTTCTACTTCTTACATGTTGAACACAAATACCTGTACTTTCTACTTCTTACATGTTGAACACAAATACCTGTACTTTCTACTTCTTACATGTTGAACTCAAATCTCTGTACTTTCTACTTCTTACATGTTGAACACAAATACCTGTACTTTCTACTTCTTACATGTTGAACCCAAATACCTGTACTTTCTACTTCTTACATGTTGAACTCAAATACCTGTACTTTCTACTTCTTACATGTTGAACTCAAATACCTGTACTTTCTACTTCTTACATGTTGAACTCAAATACCTGTACTTTCTACTTCTTACATGTTGAATACAAATACCTGTACTTTCTACTTCTTACATGTTGAACTCAAATACCTGTACTTTCTACTTCTTACATGTTGAACTCAAATACCTGTACTTTCTACTTCTTACATGTTGAACACAAATACCTGTACTTTCTACTTCTTACATGTTGAACTCAAATACCTGTACTTTCTACTTCTTACATGTTGAACTCAAATACCTGTACTTTCTACTTCTTACATGTTGAACACAAATACCTGTACTTTCTACTTCTTACATGTTGAACTCAAATACCTGTACTTTCTACTTCTCACATGTTGAACTCAAATACCTGTACTTTCTACTTCTCTCATTTTCCAAACAGCTGGTTCCTTTAGTCTGAATGTGTGTTTGGTGGCGTGATCATTATTCTTTAGAGTCATTGCGTGCCTATTGATTTGAACACGATCCGTGTATCCATCATTTCCTGGTCTTCTCTAAAGAAGAGGGACCAATGGAAACGTTGTCATGTTGCCGTTGTTCAGCATGGAAACATTCATTAGCTAACAATGACATTATTGTTCTATTGATATAAAGGGAGGTCAGGTACTCTTTAAAGCAGCTGCTAGTTATGGGTACTTTTTACTGAAGTACATTTCAAAGCCTCTTTACTTTGACTTGAGTAAAGAAGTTTAGTCAGTACTTCTACTTTCACCAGAGTATTTTTAAACACGAGTATCCGTACTTCTACTTGAGTAAAGGATGTGTGTACTTTTGACATCTGAGCAGTACTCAGACCTCATACTAAAGGAAAACTAGATAAACTGAACTGCAAAATGACTCCGTTACAAGTATAAGTCCTCAAAATGTCCCCTGAATGTTTTAAAAACAATTGAAATGTGCAGTTTAATCACACAGCGCCTCCTGGTGGTTAAAGCATCAACCTATTATTAATTTTCCAAATGTAACAATACAAACAGTACACACAGTGAGGCAGAAGTGACTTTATTTCCCTAGCATAAAGACAGTGGGCTCCAGGTGGTTCATATAAAACAACGACGTGTTATTAATCAACATGATTGATATGACCTGTGTTAAGTGTACAGGAAGCAGTTTGTCCAGCATATGACTGAGTTTTCCTCGTAGTACACACATCTTTTGTTATCATTTTAAGTCCAATAAATGCAATAACACTGAAGGAAACAGAGGCTATAATTCGCATTAAGTTTTACAAACCAGGGAATGTAACTTCAGTGTAAAGGAAGTCCGTTAGTGTTTGTTTGCAGCTTTTTTTAAAAACTGGAAAATGGCATACATTGTCTTGATGTTCTTCCTTTTGCAGTTAATACTCAACAACATATCCTGCTAGTTATCAAATATCTGAACAGTAACACAACACATGAATCATTACAGCTACCTTAAGGACATTTCTGTATATTGTGAAGTGATAAATCATTCCAGGAAACTACGGATTATCGTGCTGCATATAAAGAGGGCTGACTTCATGTGACGTGGTTTTTTTTGTGCGCATTAGCTTTAGAGGGGGGTCCGTTAGACTTTTTCCAGCATAGATCTTCACTTTGCATCAGCAGACAGGATTTCCTAAAGAAAAACACACATGGAGGAAGTGAGCCGACATATCCAAGTTACATTTGTTAATTCATAACAGAAGTGAAAATAATTCGAAAATACCTTCTTGGAATCATGTTCCCATATCCAGAATGTAATGTCTCACTTTCTGTTTATCTTGTGTTATATCTTGTGTATCCTGAGTGCCTAAAGAGCTACACAAATAAAACTTTATTAGTACTATTATGTTCTCGAGTGAGGGAACAATGGAGCGTGAGATGGACCGGAGAATCGGAGCAGCGGGAGCGGTACTGCAGTCGCTTTACCGCACCGTTGTGACGAAAAGGGAGCTGAGCCAGAAGGCAAAGCTCTCTGTCTACCGGGCCATTTCCGTTCCTACCCTCACCTATGGTCCTGAAGGATGGGTCATGACCGAAAGAACGAGATCGCGGATACAAGCGGCCTAGATGGGTTTTCTCCGCAGGGTGGCTGGCGTCTCCCTTAGGGATAAGGTGAGAAGTTCAGTCATCAGGGAGGGACTCAGAGTTGAGCCGCTCCTCCTTCGCGTCGAAAGGAGCCAGTTGAGGTGGTTCGGGCACCTAGTTAGGATGCCACCTGGGCGCCTCTCTAGGGAGGTGTTCCAGGCACGTCCAGCTGGGAAGAGACCAAGGGGTAGACCTAGGACCAGGTGGAGGGATTATATCTCTTCGCTGGCCTGGGAGCGCCTTGGGATCCCCCAGTCAGAGCTGGTTGATGTGGCCAGGGAACGTTTGGGGCTCTCTGCTGGAACTGCTACCCCCGCGACCCGACCACGGATAAGCGGGAGAATGAGGATGGATGGATGGTACTATTATATGTTATATCTGGTAAAAGTCATTCTTGCAGGATTCTTTGAGTTTATGGAGATCATAAGCATGCATCAGTTGGAAAATAAACATAACTCAGTGTGGACTTGAACACTTTTTATCCCCTTCATGTCACCTGTTCTCCGTGCAGCACATCCTTCATTTGGTGCCGTTGTACTTGACGTCCTTCCCGCATTTCTTCAGAGTCTCCGTGAGAAAATCCACGTCTTTGTCGGACTCGATCCAAACCAGTTTGTTGGGCAGATCGATCTCAAACTTCACATCTGAGAGGACACAGAGGACACTGGTTTAATTTCATAAAGAAAGGGAACTCTAGCAACGCAAGGAGTCCCCAAAAAACGCTCTAACTGATGTTGCTTTTGTTTATATTTAATATAACTATTTTCATTTTATTTTTGATTGTTAATTCTCTTTTACCACTTTTGTATTATAAAGTCTGTACACACTTCTGCTTCTTTGATGAAAGACATTTTGCCTGCCTGCCTGCCTGCCTGCCTGCGTCATATTTCTGACCTTAACAGTGTGAGAGGATTTGATTTGATGTGTGTGTGTGAGGCTTGTAGAAAAACAGAAGCTCCATTCATTTAAATGACTCAGCATCAGGTGACATGCTGCAGGAGAGATACACCCTTTCAAATATTTAAAACTACACTTTAACTGGATTCTCCAAGAGAGGAAGCTACAGGTTCTTCTTCATGCTTCTATTAAATGATTTAACCTTATACAATATTGATCAAAGACTGTGGGGACATGTGTATTAAAGAGACCCTCTTCTGCTTTCTGTGGTGTTCTATCATGAGTGTTATATACTGTATGTTTGTGTGCATGTAAATGGTCTGCAAAGACTCAAATCCCCCTTTTTAGAAACTGACATTCTGTAATTGGAGTCTGAGAGGAAGATGCATCACAGTGGAAATGAATCGCACATTTCTGAATAACACTTCCTCTTTGATAATCTGCAGTAGGGCTGCTTGATATTGTAAAAAACTGACATTGCGATATTTTTTCTCCTGTGATATGAAAAAATAGAGGAATTGAAGAAAAGACAGTTTTTTTTGTCCGCAAACCATCCTTTCTTGAACTGTAATGCTATACAATTGGTATTTTTTTAACTATATTTAACCGGATGAAGGATTTTAGTCACGGACGTCTGGATCTTAAGTTATCAGAGCAACAAGCTGAGCTAGTTCGGTTAGCAGCGCCGAACTGGAGAAACACATGAAACCACTTTATTCAGTGTTTATACCTTTAATCACCCGGTCCGTTTGCTTTGAGATTTGATTGTGGTTTGCTGTCACTCACTCAAGTACCCCTGATATGAGAGCCACTCCAGTTTTCCTTTTGTAGCAAGCAGCAAAATAATTGTAACATGAGGTGTTTGAGTTAATTTGCCTACTTAAAGGTGGGAAAAAACCTGCCACTTCCTTACAGAGCCCCTCCTCCAACACACGAACGCACACATGACCAATGAGGGCACGAGATAAGTTTGTGCCCAGATGGAAGGCTGACAGGCAGGTAGGCCATCCAGTTACTTTAGCCGGCTCAGATGATTGGTCGTGCTTTTTACAGATGACTTTTTTATATGTATTTTTTGTCAAAGCACTTCAGATATTCATTGCTATCGGGATGTTAAGAGCATTCCATGGAAGATAACAACAAGTGTATTTCAAGCCGGTTTCTCAAACTTACCTACCCCACCTTTAATATCGCAAGAAAAAAACACATATGCGATCTCTGCCTCCTTACTTGGTCGGGCCGCTCAATCGTCAGCTTCACAGACTATCGCGCATATCGTGATTATCGTCACGACACGATATATCGTGCAGCACCATTCTGCACAGCTCTCCACTTTAAAATGTACTGGATTTTGTAATATATTCACTGTACTTAGTTTAAGATTTATGAATATTTAAACTGTGTAAATAATTATCTGTTTTTTTTAATATATTCTCTTTATAATAGTTTTATATTTGCTCCTTGTCTTGTGTGTGTATGCACGCACGTAACACATACTACATCTGCACTGTTTGCACAATATCTTTGACCTGCACGCATACATGTAAATATATTTAACAATCCACACTCAAATATGTTCATTTAATTCATTTCATGTTTTAACAGCTACTTACCTGTATATCATTTTACCTTTAATTGTATTAATCTTGTGTGAATATGTGCTGTACTGTCGCTCTCACTCTGTTGCCGCTTAAACGCCTGAAGTTCCTCACAGGGTCCATCTTATTTTATAACACGTGTGTATTTTTATGTGTAAACCTACTTGACACTAAACCTGATTCTGATTGTGTTGGGATGATATCCAGTCATTACCATCATATTGTAATTTCTCTTGCACTATTTTATCTGTTTCATCTGTTCTATGTCCTATATATTTATATATATATATATATATATATATATATATATATATATATATATATATATATATATATATATATATTCATGTTGCACTGTTGGAGGACTTCAGTTTTTCATTGGGAATGGGAATGGACTGTACGTATATAGTGCTTTATCTTTAAGACTTTACGTGCTACATGTCAATCACCCCCATTCATACAGAGCAGTGTACCTTACTCTAGGAACTAACATTCACACGCAACACCGTTGGCCATCGGGAGCAACTCAGGGTTAAGTATCTTGCCCGAGGATACATCGACATGTTGGCTGCACGGGTAGGGATCGAACCTTTTCTACACTGTAGCTGCTGATCACATGACAATAAAGCCTTGAAACTTGAATCTATTGATCATATTTAGGGTCTGAGATTGAGTTAACCTCACCTCCCAGTTTGTTGAGGATCCGGGTCACGGCTCCTGAACATCCCTCACAGGTCATCGCCACCTCGAACTCGTGCTTCTGTTGGACACAGAATACATAATGAGCTGTAATCTTACTGATTCATTAAATCAATTATAATAACTATTCCGAAAGTCTCCAAAATTAAAGTGATGGTAACGGTGTATAAATGTACAAAAGAAACAGTTATTTTATACATTTATTTATGTACAGTATATTATATATTTGTCTTTGATGTTTTTAATTTGTTTTATTTTCTATTATTATTATTCATATTTATTTATTTATATTTTTGCCTTTCTTTAAATATATTAAAGTTTTTTTGTATCTGTTCTCTATGTTTGGACTATTTTATCGCACTTATTTTCTTAATTTTTGTACCTTCTTGAATTTATAACCACCATTACAATTACATGTATTACCTCTATATCTCTATATAAACATTACCTGACACTAAAAAACCCTTTAAAATATTCTATAATTTTAAGGGATCTGCTTTAAGATCTGCTTGAAAAGGAACTTGTGCATACTGATTTAAATTAAATGGCTTGAATAAACTGTATGAACATATCTTAGTGCTCTTTTATGTGATATAAACAATGTCTAAATTGTCCCACACTTCCACACAGTAGCTTAGGCCCCGTCCACACGGAGACTATATCAGTTGTATCCGCTAAAGTTCTTTATCGTATAGACGGTTCGTCCACACGAAGCCGAAACTGACCCGCGGCTTCGGAGCCCGAAAACATTACACTTTGATAACGGCTCCAAAAGTGGGTAGATCTGGAGACGACACGCTTGCGGCTCCGTGTGTACGCCCTATACGCCATAGCCCTGCCTCTCCCCACCTCTCCTGCTCACCCCCGCGTCATTGCTGATGCGTTTTGCCAACAACAACAACGGCGGATCACAGGGTTGCGTTCGTGCTCCAGACGCTACTGACCATGCTACAGACGTTAGTGCAAAATCTACAGCTCCTCCACCACAACCATCAGCAACAAGTGGACATGGAGAACTACATGAACTATGTGTTGCTAAATCCACCGTGGAGAATAACCAGAAGGGCAACCAGGCAACCATGCTCTGGGGTCTTCTTCGCTGCTTTTGGTGTATTTTGTGGTGGAAGTACAGCGCCACTTACAGGCCCGGCATATGTACTACAGCGTCTCCAGCCGGTCGAGCGGTCTCGTGTGGACGGAAGACTTTTTTAAAAATCGACTTCGGTTCGTTTTCGTCTCCGTGTGGACGGGCCTAAAATATGGCAAGTAAGGGAACAATAAAACATTTTCATATCCTTGTAAGTAGATAAACAATAAAAGAAGATTATATTTATTTTAATTAAGATAAATGTGATGTCAACACGAGTATTAAGATTAGGATGAACCTTTATTGATCCCCCATTCAGTTTTTAAAGGAAGTGATTGTTTACTGATCCTGATTCATGTTATAATAGTTGAATTTGTTGTTGTTTTCTTTAACTGTGTTTATGTACGCACCATAGATACAAAGGCAAATTCTTCGTATCTGTTTCTGCTTTCTGACATCAATAAGAGTATCATTACCATTAATGTCATGTTACATTTAAATGAACTGAGATACTACTTCGAACTTTATGTGCTGCTCAATTCCCACCATTTACGAATCAAGCTGATGACTGGAATCGATGTTTGCCTCAATGGAAGTGATTGTTTACTGATCAGCTAGATAAACAACAACAGGAGATTGCATTATGTGAGATATCAGATGTCATGATATCTATAATGAAGATAAATTAGATATCAATACGAGTATTATTACCATTAATCTCATGTTACATTTACTGACCTGACGTACTACTTCTGACTTGATGTTCTGTGCAATCAACATCATTGATCAATTATTCTAACTGTGGTTTTAATGATGTGTTGGTAGCAGTATTCAGATGCTTTATTTTAGTACAAATACTATGGTCTTAGAATACTTCACTACAAGTAAAAGTCCTGATTTAAAAATGTAAAAAGTATTAGCATCATAATATACTAGAAGTACTTATTCTGCACAATGGCCTATTTCGTTCTAATATAAAGTATTATCAGCAAGATTGACTTCAAGTATCAAAAGTAAAAGTACCCATAGAGCTGAATAGATATTATATTTTCATAGTTATCATATTATCCGGTTTTTATACACGTGGGAGCATTTCAGTATTGTAGTTTGTCAACGTGGACCAAATACAGATTACAGTATACTGCATTAATCAATATCATCATGCCATATGTTTATAAGTAACTGTGAGAGTTAAAATAAATATAGTGTAGTAAAAGTATAAACTAGTATTACATGGAAATACTCAAGTAAAGCACAAATACGTCAAAGTAGGACTAAAGTACAATACTCGAGTAGGCTACATGTACTTTTCACCACTGCTAATCAATGTAACATGAGATGGTATTATACTAGTACTGTCATATTACATGTCTCTTTATTGAAATATCATGACATCTGATCACATAATGCAATCTCCTGTTCAAAGACTATAATCGATGTTTTCCTGTGTTTCAATGGAAGTGTTTTCTGATCTGTTTTCTGATCAGCTGACTGGGAGCAGTCTGAGAGCTACAGCTACTGAGCAATGCGGAAAGGAAAAGCTGATTTAATTTGAGACATTAGGATCTTCTTAACTCACCGTCATGTTGGAGGAGAAGTTGTGCAACCCGTGTGTCAGCTGTGGACTTTCCTCTGTGGAGATGTGGCAATAAGTTATTGTGAAAACCTGCAGAAATGATCTCCGTTAGCCGGTGTGAAGCTAAGTGTGAAGAGAACCGGAAACAGCGTCGGGGGCGGGGCTTAGTTCATTTCTGATAGAGCTGCTTTTTTACTTTTTGATTATTATTATTTTATTTATTGTACTTTACAATATTTTTTTTCATATTTTTGCGTTATTGTATTTTTGTATTATTATAATCTTTTATTATGTATTTTCTATTTTATTATTAGAATTGATTTATTATAATTTTTAGTATATTTGTATTATTATATTTTGTATTTTTGTATTATAATTATTTTACAAATTGTTTGTTTTTTATTGTTATTTTTCTACTATTATTTTATTTTGTATTTTTGCATTATATTTTTTGCATATTTGTATTATTATTATTATTATTATATTTTTATTATAATTATTGTTTTTATTGTATGTTTTTTATTGTAATTGTTTTAGTGTTTTATTATTATCATTATTATTATTATTGTATTTTTCTTTATTATTAATATACATTTTTCTATTAAAGAAAATAATGAACATAATATATTTTGTGCACAAAAAAGTTGAAATCAGGGAAGGAAAGTTCCCGTACACGGGCCCATGGAGCCATTAAGCCCCGCCTTCGATCTCCAGATCTCTCAGTCAAATGAATGGAGAGAGAAAATCACTCTTGATTTAGACTTTCACGCATTTTTACAACTTTTAGACCCTAATGATGTAAATAAAGGCTATAAAATAATTCGAACTGGGTAGTTTATTTAGCCCCCAAAAAATTATACGCTGATTTACAGACGTTTCTTTCCCAATTCAAGTCAATGGGAAAAAGTATTTTTGAGCCAACATGACGTCACATGAGTTGTAGTACCATCGTTTGGCCACTACGTTATTTAAAAAAATCAGCTTCAACTTTCCGGTATGAAAAACGCACATATTTGCATTTTAAAAACAACGAAAAGAACACAAGAATATTGATTTAATTGAAAAGTAATAATGTTCTTTTATAGAGACAATGTTAAGTATAATAAATACAAACTAACGGATTGAAATTAAAAAGACATGAAGAACACTTTGTTTTATTTTGAAGGAGAATCTCGTTTAACTTTTATTTCGGCTAACTTGACGCAATGAAACGTATCCCTCCGATGATTTGACTTTTATTTTAACACACATTTCAAACCCTTTGTGTTGTTCAGACGTATTTCATGCAGTTACTTGATCAAATTATATCGGAAGAATCGAAAATAAACGAATGAGAAACTGCGTAGATCTAAATCAGTGTATTCCGGCTGCCCGGGAACGCAATTCAAGCGCACCCAAACGCACGTATTTCCAATATAAAAGCCCTATTTATTTTGACCATAGAATTAAAACTGTCTTATCAAAATCGTTTTCAAAGTTTAATTTTGTTTTTGCTTATTTGCCATTATTCAGTTACACGTTTCCTGGATCATCCATCCATCCATCCATCCATCTTCTCCCGCTTATCCGTGGTCGGGTCGCGGGGGTAGCAGTTTCAGCAGAGAGCCCCAAACGTTCCTTTCCCCTCATCAACCAGTTCTGACTGGGGGATCCCAAGGCGCTCCCAGGCCAGCGAAGAGATATAATCCCTCCACCTGGTCCTAGGTCTACCCCTTGGTCTCTTCCCAGCTGGACGTGCCTGGAACATCTCCCTAGAGAGGCGCCCAGGTGGCATCCTAACTAGGTGCCCGAACCACCTCAACTGGCTCCTTTCGACGCGAAGGAGGAGTGGACCATCCGTCACTCATTATTTATATATTTATTTTATATACTATTCCTGATATGTTAGCTTACACATACCTATAACACACTATATGTTTACAGTTTCAGTTCTGTGTACATTTGTGCCAAAATATAAATATATTGTCAGTGGTGTAACTAAGTACTGTACTCTCGTAAAATTGTTAGGTACTTGTACTTCACTACAAATCAGAGTTAAATACATAATTATAATCACAACATATCATATATTTTTCTGAAATGGACCAACATGCACAATGAGTTTACTTTTGGTATTTTAAGTATTTCCTGTATTCCCACTTTTACTCAAGTAAGATCTGAGTACTTCTACTTTTACTCAAGTACAAGATCTGAGTACTTCTACTTTTACTCAAGTACAATATCCGAGTAGCCTACTTCTACTTTTACTCAAGTACAAGATCAGGGTAGCCTACTTCTACTCAAGTACAATACCTGGGTACTTCTACTTTCACTTGAGTAGCCTACAAGATCTTCTACTTGTAGCCTACTCAAGTACAATAACTGAGCACTTCTACTTTTAATAAAGTACAATAACTGAGTACTTGTACTTTTACTCAAGTACAAGATTAGAGTACTTCTACCGCCTCTGTATGTTTTTAACACGCTAATGGTTTTCCGTTATTATTATTATTATTATCCGTATCTATGGCAACAAGACGTCGAACCATAGCGCGTCGAACGCACACGTCCCCTCGGGTCACATGACCTGCTCCGCTGGCTCGCGGACAAACAGCCGACTCCTCCTGCTCTTCAATCTGTAATTCAGCCAGCGGTATGATAGGAAAATCAGAGGTCTGTGGCGAGGATAACACCCATTAAAACCAGCCGGATACCCGCACTGAGATTACAAAGAGGTACGAGGTAGGTTGTTGTTTATTTCGAACCTTTTCCGTGGCGTGTTTACGGTCTCAAAGATGGCATCGCAGAATGAAGCTAACGTTAGCCACATAGCTAAGCTGCTAGGTCTGGAAATCAAAACAAACTGGTGTTTCATTGCTACATTATTGGTTGTTTTTAGCTTTGTTGTTGCTTAAAGAGGACATATTCTGCTCCTTTTCAGGTTCATACAAGTATTCAGTGCCTCTGACATGTCTCCATGCTTTAATGTTCAAAATACTCTTTATTTACTGCCTGTGCTGCAGCACCTCTTTTTACCCTCTGTCTGAAACCATTGGGGTTAGCCTTTGCAGACCATTTACATCCACACAAACCTTTTTAACACACTAAAGACACGGGAACACCAACAAAAGCATAAAACACTCCTTTAAGTCACCTTGGTAATTGCCATTTTTAGCTCACATCTCCCTTTCCTGCTATTTCAGGAGTCTTTGTCGGAGCTAACCAGAAATTAAATGTGTGCTCAGCCCTATTTACCTGCCTGCACAATACATACATCATAAACTCATTAAATAGTGTTTTCACTGATGTTTGCTTTATCAAGCTGTCCATTAAGAAGACGGATACACTTCTCCTGGTCAAAGATTATAGTTAAACAATTGTGTGTGTGGGTGCGTGCGTGCGCTACTTAAGTGCAATTTTGAGCTACTTGTACTTAATTGAGTATTTCCATTTTACGGTACTTTGTACTTCTACTCCACTACAGTTCAGAGGTGAATGGTGTACTTCTACTCCACTACATGTATTTAATACCTTTAGTAACTTCACAGATGTGGATGAATGATGTGAAATCTAATCAAGTGTTGAATCAGACTTTAGTTCCACCTGGAGTAAATCCACCAGCTACCCTGCAGTATACAAAGTCATTCAAACTAGCTGCACCTTCACCAGCTTTGAGAACACTTTCATGATCAATCATTATAAAACATATCATATATATTATTCTGAAATGGACCAATCTGCACAACGACTACTTTTACTGTCGCTACTTTCACTATATTTTGATGAGAATACTTTTCTACTTTTACTTGAGGAACATTTTGAATGCAGGACTTTTACTGTAACAGAGTATTCCTACACTCTGGTACTTCTACTTTTACTCAAGTACATGATCTGAGTACTTCTACTTTTACTCAAGTACAATATCTGAGTACTTCTACTTTTACTCAAGTACAATATCTGAGTACTTCTACTTTTACTCAAGTACAAGATCTGAGTACTTCTACTTTTACTCAAGTACAAGATCTGAGTACTTCTACTTTTACTCAAGTACAAGATCTGAGTACTTCTACTTTTACTCAAGTACAAGATCTGAGTACTTCTACTTTTACTCAAGTACAAGATCTGAGTACTTCTACTTTTACTCAAGTACAAGATCTGAGTACTTCTACTTTTACTCAAGTATAAGATCTGAGTACTTCTACTTTTACTCAAGTACAATAACTGAGTACTTCTACTTTTACTCAAGGACAATAACTGAGTACTTCTACTTTTACTCAAGGACAATAACTGAGTACTTCTACTTTAACTCAAGTACAAGAACAATAACTGAGTACTTCTACTTTAACTCAAGTACAAGAACAAGAACTGAGTACTTCTACTTTAACTCAAGTACAAGAACAATAACTGAGTACTTCTACTTTAACTCAAGTACAAGAACAAGAACTGAGTACTTCTACTTTAGTTCCAGATCTGAAGGATATTCTCTTGTTTCCATTAGAGACATTTGAGAGGTGTTCAGTTTGACCTCACCCTGTACAAACGTGTGTGTTAGCTTACCCTTTATGTAAACATCACTATTTGCATCTTATTTGTTTTGTATGCCTTGAACTCAAATATATTTTTGCATAAGTGGACCGTTGCTGAGAGAACACTAGAAAGCATACCTTTCCCAAACTTCGCACATCATTTTGTATGTAATAAATACGTATATAAGCTTCGAAACTGAAAGTATTAATCAATCATACATTTATCCAGATGGTCAATCCACAGGAAAAGAATCTACAGTTATTTTACATATTGATTGATCTCATTCAATAAAGAAAAATGCTATTTCTTTCTAGACCGTCAAATGTGAGGAATTAGAGTTTAATCACGTTGCAAATAAAATATTTTAAGCATTTTATACTGTTGGTTAAACAAATAAGCAGCATGAAAGCAACACTATTCTGGCAAATTAACTGGGAGCTTCCATTACGTTCTGAATTACAAAATGGTTTAATTTAAATATAATGTCCATTAATATTTACTGAATACTAATCACTAGCTACCGCTCCGATAAACATCCATCATCCATACAAGTAAGAAATGCAATATTTCAGCAAGAATAGGCCTCTCCAATAGTTAAACAAATCCAGTAAAAATAGGCTAAACTCAAATAAAGAATAAACAACTTAGGTTACACTTTACTTTACATTACATGTTACTTGTTAGACGCTTTTATCCAAAGCGACTTTCATGCTCAATACTGTGGGCAATCCCCACAGGAGCCATTTGGGGTGAAGCGTCTCAGGGACACAACGACATGCTGACTGCAGTGGGGTTTGAACCTGTGCCCCCCTGATCCGAGCACAATCCAGTGCGCCACACGCCTCCATAAGTCACATTTATGATATTGCTTGGTTATAGTGTTCTTAATCGTCGTTTACATTTGCTCTCTGTTGCGAGGTTACCATAACAAGTGCTCTGTGTTTTATGACCGTGTTACAGTGACACTCCTTCATCAAACATACTGTGGACAATCCCCACAGGAGCCATTTGGGGTGAAGCGTCTCAGGGACACAACGACATGCGGACTGCAGTGGGGTTTGAACCTGTTAGAACTTCAGATTAAGGTTATACATATTCACCATCAACTAGTTGTTCATTGACATATTAGAGTCAAACTACTAGCTTATTGGTTATGAACAAGACTTCACTTTAAAATAGGGAACATATTCTGAGTTAGAAATACCTCATTTTGAGTTATTTTGACACAATTAACACTTAATTTGTTCGGTGTTATTATGAGAGAATGCCTTATTAGGCCCATATTGAGCACAAACTCATGCACAACAACGTCCTTACTTACAATAAATAAGCACTAATTAGAGCAAACCAACTCAACTAATGGCCTAGTACTTGTAGAATATGGTCATTAGAATAAGAATAAGGCATTAATATGCGTTTTATAATGACTAATCTAATACAGAGCCAATACACTGCTAATATACATGTTAATTAACAACTAGTTGATGGCTAAAATGTACCTTAACATAAAGTGTTACCACAACTTAGATTGTCTTTCTTTCATTTTGTGTTTATTATAACTTAACGTTTAAAAACGACGTCTCGACCACGTCTTGTTGTCCATCTCTATGTCTCCTAAAAGGCTGTCTTTTGACTACAAATGTTCCCTTTTCACCCAAAACAAAAGACTGTCTCTAACAATAACCTTTCAATTTGAGATGTTTCCCATCTATTTTTTTGGTAAATAATTGGCCATGGCAGTCAGGGTTGCCAAAGCTCCACATCTTAACAGCTTTTTGTTTCAGTTTAGGTGCCGGTTATCACGCGGCCAGCTGTTTTCATTTCCTCTTTGCATGGTTAGTGTGCACATTGAGAAATCTGCTGAGTCGCTCATGAATTAGACCAGGGGTGGGGAACCTCCGGCCTCCGGGCCGTATACGCTCCGCGAGACCATTTGATACGGCCCTCGAGGTAATTTATAAATACACGCAATAAAATTAAAATCTAGACCGCAAAATAATTAGACAAGTGACTGCTTGTTTTTCCTGGCCAAGGTCAGGTTCCTTGAACACAACACGAGCGCAACGTGTCATCACGTGGTATATCTCACGTCACGTCTTCAATATTAAACGAGACTTCATTGATAGCAGCGACCTTAATATGGCGAGTATTAAAAAGAGAAAGGTGGATGCAGAATGTCGGACTCTCCATGAGGAATGGACGAATGATTATGTTCACCTGGTTTTGCTGTGTGTGAGTTTCTGTTGTTTGAGTTTAGTATCCAGTGTTCGATTGTTGCATTTAAGTTTATTACATTCCTGGAATTCAAGGTACCTGCTATGAGTGTCTGCATTTAGCTCCGTACGCCTTTTACAGACTCTCCAAAGCATAACAACATTGAACATAAAACAGAAAGATATCTGGATTAAGAGGTTGCTCAAGCACAGCATGAAAGAAAGGCAAAATGAATGGGCTGTGATGTTAGTTTTTTTTAGCAGAGGTTGAGTTCAATAATTTCTACGGCCCTCGGAGGATGTTGTGAAAATTAAAATGGCCCTTGAGAGGAAAAAGGTTCCCCACCCCTGCTCTAGACCCTTCTTTAACATAAATCACCTTTTTCTTGATGCTCACTGAACCTCTTCTGAACCACGCGCACCCTGAGAGGAGCTGCCAGGAGAAATACTTTAGTTTCACTGTTGTTGTACACACAAGTGACCTTGTAGTTGTTCTGTCAAATATCCCAAGATGCAGTAGCACTGATGTGAGATAAAAGCAGAGTAAACGCCTGAACCTTGAACTCAAAAACACCCGTAAAAGTTTTTTTAGCTGGAAGTCTCAAGTCCATGCTTTCCTGTAAAAAAAACTGTCCACTTTCACGAGATGTCAACACCGAACAGTGTGACCGGAAGATAAGGGGAAGTTAGATAAGGTAAAGTCATGACGACGGTTACATTTTGGTTCCTAAATAAAAATGTGGGCTAATGTTTGTGCAATGAGTCAGGGGGGTGGGGGGGGACAGCAAAGCAAAGCCTCGAAATAAAACCTTAATATAACGGGAATAAAATAAGGAAAACTGTCTTTAGTTGCAGCCCTAACTTTAGTATTTAATGATTTAACAATGTCAAGTATACCACCATGTTTATCAAGAGTTTGTGCAAAGTCTCAAGGTTCAGAAAATGTGTTTCAAGGTTAGAAATGTGCCTGAGTTTTATATTTACTGGTCTCTCAT